GGCAACCACTTGAGTGAACGGATGCGGCGAACTTAGTTGGGCTATGCAGTATGCTCGAACCTCACTGTTGGAACTGCCGTTGTCTGCTGTATTTGTGCATGAACTGCTGCTGCTGGCTGCTGCATCCGTGCACGAACTGCTGGCTGCTGCCTATTGCTGCATACTGCTGCTGACTATTACAGACTGCTATGCGGTGGCGATTGGGTTGAGGAGAGGTGCTGAGACTCGGAGAGGTGACTAGACTTTACAAGTAGGGGGTTAGTGTTGTGATTTGGGAGGTCGTCAGGGGGTTGATTTCGGCAGTTTGACTTCAAAAGTTGGCCAAGCTGATACTATGCGACCATCATTGCGGGACCCTCAAGCAAGTGAAGGTATCAAGACCCTCTCCTGAGAGTTAAGTTTGTCCCTCTCTTGTATCTCGAGCGTCTGAAACCCCTTATCTTCTGCCCTTCTTACTCTAAGTCTAGTCTCGATCTGAGAGGAAGGCGGCAGGCCGAATTGCAACCCGTAGGACCGCAGCAAGACTCTGTGGTGAGTCAGTCCACCGATTGCGGGAGCTCTGCCGGAACTCAAAAGGAGTTCTGGAGGCAGGGAACTGAAAGGTAACTATTGTTTTCCCTCTATAAACCCAGTCATGGGCCCTATCTGCATTCCTTACTATGTTTGGATTGAGGATGTTGCTTGTCTCCCTATTTTGACTTTCAGTTTGCATTTCGGGACACAATCCAGACTAAGTAAAGGAATGTGTGTGTGAAATCAGTTTCAGCTTTGTTGTTTGACTGAAAGCAGATTGTGAGGTTGCATCTGGGGGAAGGCTGGGAGGAGGGCAGTATTGCCCGAGTTTGACAGGGTCAACCAAGGCTGGGCCAGTTCGATAGTTTGGGAAGGCTTAGTGCTGTGTTTATTATTGGATTGTGTGGAGAGTAAGTCAAATTCATAAGTTTGGGTAGTCTGGCTGCTCTGACTTGCGAGGGTTGCTTGTGGTTGACTTTTCAGGAGTCAATCAAATCCATAAGTTTGGGTAGTCTAGCGACTTTGTTTTCTTTGGGTTTCTGTGAGTTTCTTTTTGCTTTGGCTTTAAAAGAATGAATCAGGCAAAGGACCAGACAAGTTCCATAAGTTTGGGTGGTCTTGGTCCAATGTCACGCAGATGCTGGAACCAAAAGGATATAATTTGACTATACTTTACTATTATTCCATCTATGAACAGGCTAGTCAGACGGGCTTCCATAAGTTTGGGTGGTCTGACTATAGCTTATCACCAACTGAAGAAAGTACTAATTAATAATAAAATTGGGGTACGAAAGGGCAGGCTGAATCTTGAGCTGAAGATGATCGGTTCAGTTATATGCTACCTCAAAAGACTAAGTGCAGACAATTATATAAATCATGGATACTTAAACAGTTCAGGGCGACTAGGGTGGCCGAGTCACATGCCCAAAGAAGAGAAAAGTTGTTGTGCCCTGTGTTTGTGTATACAACATGGCTAAGCTAGACATGTTCCATAAGTTTGGGTGGTCTAGCTTTATGTCCTATGTAAGCTGGGGGTAAAGGGATAAATCATTGAAAGATTACGAACTATTGTTTGTCCAGATTTACCTGTGGATGGTGAGAGTACGTACCTTTGTGGCTTGGCCTGCATGTGACTGAGTGAGGCCACTACTTAGTTTGAGTTTCAGGTTGATAGGTAGTTGCTTTAGTTGCTCGCTACGTGCTAGAGCCATAGGAGTTAGTTTCAATTCCTACATTTCCTGAGCTAAGTTTTTTTACTTAGGTCAATTTCTGCATTTTCTGGGATCTTTTGTTATACTTGGCCTTGTATAAATCTTGGTAAGCCACTTTCTCTACGGGAAGCGCTGCCGAAATTTCTACAAAACTAAGAAGTTAGTTAGACTTTGTCTTTTTCAGGGTCTAACGTTTCTGACGTTTTGGCTTAGTAAAAATCTGGAACATCTCCTTTTCTAAAGGGAGTGCTGCCCAAATGTTTGCTAATTCAGGGAGTTAGACAAAACTAGACTTTGAGAAGTCAAAGTCACTGTAGATTCTAAACTTAGCTTTGTATAATTTATGGAATGACACTTATCCTACGGGAAGCGCTGCTGAAACTTTCTTAGTTTAAAGGAGTTATATTATATTTTGACAAGTGACAATTCTGAGAAATCCACTCTGTACAGAGGAGATTCTGCCAGGGTCTACCTTTCTTTTGACACTTACTTGGAGGTAGACTTAGGCTTAGGTAATTAGGATGATTTGAGTGAGATCGTGATATGGGGACTATTCTCCATGGACTTATAGATTTAGTTTGAGGATTGACATGTCTTGTGTTACAGGTCTTCTTGATCAATTGATTCAGGATTCGGGTTAGATTCAGCTTGATCCTACAAGGATCATCTTCTGTTATCACTGATAACAGGTCGGTTGCCGATTCGTTGGTTTACGACTCAACTCCAATCCACTCTTGTCACTCAACCTAAAGACTTTAGCCTTGTGATTTGAATTGTTTTGTTGTGTTTTCACCCGGACTTTATTTGAATGGCCATTTAAAGAAAAGTACTGAGTATTCTATTTTGAGGAGTTGCACAAGAGTGAGGTTTGTATGGCTAAAAGCAAGGGGTGTGAGTGCAAAGAATGGTTGAAGTTGACCTCGTGTAGTGCATGAACTTTTGGTTGAATCTTTGATGTGATTGCAGATATGTTTGGTGATTCGGACTCTGGATTTGAGTGTCTGCGCTCACATACATATATATATATGGCTGAGAGGAGACTCACTGTGACTATAAGAAGTGATCGTCCTATATTAATAACCCTTAATTATATATATATATATATATATATATATATATATATATATATATGTCACAGCCCCTCGTTTGATGTCCTCTTCTCTCTCTCTGCCTACGGTTTACGGGGCATTTCTGTTTGTGATAATATATATATATATAGATAGATATAGATATATATATATATATATATGTGTGTGTGTGTGTGTGTGTGTGTGTGTTTATGTCTTGAGTGTTTCGCGCGGCTTACTGGGATCACGCGTAAGGGTTAACCAGATTATGTTTTTGAGGAAAATATGATTTTTCTCTTTTATCCTTTGTTTTTTTTGAGATTTTTATAGTTGGACGTTGTAGTCCGTGACAACCGTCAAAGTCAAACCCCTTGACTTCTCTCCAGGCTCTAGATGATGGAGAAGGTTTCCAGGGCGATAAGAGGGTGTGGTTTTCAACTGCCCTTGGCGGTTGTCCAGCGTCGAGAGATTAACCCTCGAGGCGCTTGTCAGCCGACACTTGGGTGTCGAATGCGACTCTCGAGATTAACGAGGACCGCATGAGTATGGGTACTGCATAGTACGCCATCATTGCGATCGTTTGTGTACGTATGCATTGCGAGTCGAAATGAGTTAGCCCTACATCCACGCGGTTTATACTGAGTCTCGCGCGCGACGCCATTTTGATTTCCGMGTCGGAAAATTATGGGATGGCTACTAAGGGACTAGGAGTGTTGTCGCGTTGTTTTGTTTCGGGTTGTTCTGTATATGTGCGTGTGTATGTGTGTTTTATTTTTATGTTCTTTRTWGTGGCGTGCGCGTGGTGTGTGGGATGGGTCCTAGTCGACCGGCGACGAATCGCGCTTGGGACCTCAGCCCCCCAAGTTGTCTGTTCGCGTGCGGGTTCGATAGAGGCGTATTACCGCGCGTACCCCCTATGCTACAACGAACGAGAAACGCCCTCGACTGGTCCACCTCTGCGATTGCAGCTGATCAACTTTCGTACTGTGGACTGGTAGCTCGGCGGGGATACGCCCACCGAAGGGAGGTGATAGCTCCCGTAAGGTGGAGGTAAGTCGTGCCTCGCATAGGCCCTATCCTGTCGTAGGGGCTCGTGAGAGGTATGGCTGGCGCACTCGGCCGGAGCGGCTTGTAGAAGCTCCAATATGTATCGCGACGAGGACGAGAGTCCAACTCCTGCGTGACGCGGCCAGGAGGGTCCCGCGCTACCCTTGAGTAGTGCCGGACCGATGCGCTCGACAACGCCCTTTCGATTCCGAAATGTTCAAACTCAAGGACCGCAGCCTCCTCGGCCTCCTACGGGCAGCTACCAGTCCTCTGCAAGCAACAACTGGCCGTTCCCCATGAATCCCCCCCCCCCAACAAATTCACCGCCCTTCCAGCTACCCGACCTGAACGGACGACCGGTATAAAGAAGGGCGACGAAATTGACTCAAGGGTATAAAACGCAACCCTGACGGGCTGCGAACAGGGGCGTGCCTGAGGCCGCAGGGGCACTACAGGGTAAGTAGGCCATCAGAGGTGCACGCCGTAAATAAATGGAAACTTGAGGGGCATATCACAAAACTCCTTCCTTTTTAGCGATTAGTTGTTTTTTCTTTTTTTTTTTTCCTTTCTATATTCTTCTCTCAACCTCTGTTTTGTGCCTTTCACTACCTACTCCTAAGGCTATCTAGAGGGGACCCCTGCAAGCATAGTTTCCTCTCACTGTGAAGGGGAGATTTCATGTTGCCCCTTGCCCCTAATGTTTAGGGTATAGGGTTGGGGCCGCCAGTGGGGGTCTGGCTAACACAAAGACCGAGACCTGCGAGTAGCTGCGCCTCCCCTTTTCATCGTCCCCCACCCCTCATTTGCGGTCGTGCGCGGGGATTCTCTTTTTATCACCATTGAACTGACCGGCCCCAGGCAACTCAGAATTATTTTATCCTCCACATCTCAGGGCATTTGGATTCGAACTTGAGTCTGTATTTCGATAGTTCAGGCGTGTACCAACTGAGCTAGGCCCCTTGGTGCGGGGATTCTTTTTGCGCCCGCCCTATTCGTTCGTTGCTGCCGCGCGGGGATTTGTTTTGATCCCCAGCTACTCGACGGGGGACTGAACAGGAGCGTGAATTCGCCGGATGGGCACCGCATTGACAGCAATTGATGAGTGGCACCAGTAGCGGGGGTGAGGAATGTAACAGGCATCGCAGCCCCGGCGACGTGGCTGAGAGTCAGACAACAGCTGCGGCTTTACCTTGTTCTGGATTCTGGATGCCTACCACAGAAGCAGACGTGAAGATGGTGCGTATGCTGAACACAGAAACTTCGAATGAGGAAATGACAATCAGTTTCTATACCCTCTTGAGAATTTTCATGATATTTTTGAGTATATATATATAGATACAAAGTCATCATCCTTTCCTCTGTCCTTTCTTTTTTTTTTTTTTTTTTTTTTTTTTACCTTTCCCCTCCCCACCTCAAAATTTTTCATTTATCCTCGGCTTCTTCGCTCATCCGTGTCCTCCCTTTACCGTTTCTGTCTCCTTTTCCCTCGCTTCCGTCTCCTCCTCCCTTGCTCCTCGTGCATTGCCACCCTCTCCTCCTCTTTCCCTCTCCTCCTTTTTCGCTCTTCCTCCTCCTCCTCTTCTTTTTCTTCCTCCTCCCCCTCCTCCTCTTCTTTTTCCCCCTCCTCCCCCTCCTCCTCGATCATTTGCGTTGCCTTCATGTGCGCCGAAGCATCATGGTGGTAGCGTCTTCCGCCGAATAGGACGCAGGGTCATTATCGCTGTACCTACAGTAGGCTGAAAGTTGCCCCAAGTACAGCCATAATGACTGTGCGGTATAATTGGGGAAAGACGGTAGGGTCACCTCGTCTAAGGCAGATGAAAGGTAAAAAACATATACCCCCTTTTTGTTAGCCGTCGCCGTCATCTTCCTGCTCCTCTTCCCCCCCCC